TAATTTTTTTATGAAGATAGAAATAATAATAAAACATATTATAATACGAGACTCTTTGCTTTTCTCCGTTGCAAGTTCTTGCTTCCTTTTTTTGCTATTAGGAAAATGAATTTATAATGCTCCAAGAATGACTCTAAGGTTTTATACTTCATCATTCAAAGACATTTCGGCCGTCTACAACATTAAGCTGCCATGGCAGGGGCTTCCACCTTCATTTCTCTCCATTTGCTAGAACTCTTAGGAACTACTCCAGTGCCTCTCATGCAAACAAACAGAGTTGGAAAGATTTTTGGACGTTTTACTGTAGAGACAAACATGCACTTAAGAATCAAATTAGAACATTGAAGAGTCCAGGAATAAATTTGATCATAAGAATAAAGCTCTGCAACATGACAATCACAATCCTTTCCATATCTATTAAGATGTCAAAGAACAGAGCTATTTTTCCAAAACAGTATGTGAGCTTTAGCTCAAACATTTTAGATAAAAAAAAAAATATAAATATAAATAAATAAATAAATAAAAAGAAGAATCTGAAACCTTTATGCCATGTTACAGCAATCAAACTAATCAAGCAAGAAGCGTTCCACACTACCATGGAGTAAGATTATCAACCCACTATCAAGGGGGAAATTAAACACCAAGCATATCAAAAGATAAAAAGCACCATAACTTGAAAGTAAAATCCAATTATAGAACTCTTAAATGGGAAATAACAGTGTAAGTAATGCATAAAAAGTTCGAATCTAAAGATTTATATCTCCTATCCAAAAGCAGCTAGAATATTTTAATATCATCACCCTTACTATGTAGAATCCGTTTCCTCAAATATTCCCTCTTGTACCATGAAACTGGCTAATCTACATCCTTTTAATACATGTATATTTGACCTCAACAGGCTTTCTTCACTCTCCATAAGCTAAATGCTAATGGTAGAAATCACTTTACCCCTAAAACTAGAAAATTTGAAAACCACATAATACAGGTTTATTGCCAATTATGCCTGCCTTTGTTCATTGAAGGATATGGAAATTACCAAGCATCTTGTATGGTTTACAACAAACTTAAACTACATGTAAGTAAGTTTGAATAAAAGCTCAGCACTAAAAAGAGTAATTATTGAGAAAATGAAATGATAATTTCATAAAAAGTAAAGGAAACTAAAATAAATCAAGATCAAACATCCAAACCATTCATAATTTATAATTTAGTTGAGAAAAATTAAAGAAAATTAACAAAAACCCTGCAGAGAGAGAAGGAGTTGAACCGTCGGAGATGAGAACTTGTGGCACGGACCTCAATGATCTAGTACCAACATCAACAACTCAGCAGCATAAATTTCCCCTTTGAAAAACAAATACCCATATCAAGAAACATCTAATATGCTAATATCAATCTGCCAATTCTAAATACCCGAAATAATTGCAGGAGAATTATTACACTGAAGAAATTCTTGCACATTCAATTCGAGTTGCGGCCCTTGGCCTTTTTTCATCATTTGATTGCACAATGGCCTATGTTCAATAGAAGGAGGATCCATGGAACTTGATAATAGCAGGTGATAACACTGGAGGTTTTCTTTCAATGCGTCAGGGATTTGGTGCTGCTTCCAGATCAGCAATCTCTGGTGGTGTTTTGCTTGCATTGATTGAAGGAGCTGCCATATTGTTGAATAAGGTTCTTAGTGCACCACAGAATATGCCTATCATGATGGAAGAGCTAGCTCCCAATATGGGAGGCATGCCTAATGGGACAATTACCAGGTCAAGCTCCAGTACCATCAACACCACCAACACCACCAACACCACCCGCATTTCTTCTTCTTCTTCTTCATGGTTCGGAGGGCTTTTTGGTGGTGGGAAAAAGCAGGAGACAGCAAGCAGTGGAACTAAGACCGAGGCTTTGGAGAGCTTTGATGCTCCTCCAGTGCCATCATTTGGATATAATTATATAAATGAGGTGGATGGTTGTTCATCATGTTTTGTTGGCGAGATATGTCTCGCTTTAATATTGATTTACTTGTTCTCAAACGCAAGAACTCATAGAGTGGATTTGCAGTTTTTTCATTATACTTGAATCATATATTTTTGCTATTGCTTATGTTATAATAACACTACATTCAGTTTGATAATTGAGACAAGTTAATGTCTTGACTTATCCTCTGTTGGGTTGAGAACATGATGGAAAAACCAGTTTGCACTCGCAACTTATTAACACTGACACGAACCCAACTGCCAACAATTTTGTCACCTCCTACATAAACCATTATAACTGCAAACTGCAATTGAACTTCTCCACTTGGCACCTTGACAACAACACTGACGACAGTGACCATAGATGTGACCCGTTACTATCTTTAAATCCATTCTTCCAATTCTTCACCAGAACCAGATTGGTTTCTCCAAGAGACAAACGTCAACAGGCAAAAGACTGAAAGACAGAGAGTATGCAGGGTGTGCTAGAGCACGAAGCTCGACATCAAGTTTCTGAATCTGGTTTGGGTATTGACAGAGGCCCTGTTATGGAGGTAGACGATGGAAAACCCAGAAGAACTGGTTAGTACTGCCTCTTTTTTCCCCCTCACTTCTACAGACTACAGCAACTCAGCAAGCATACATATATCCAGCATCAAAACCTACTGCCTACACTATTTTTTCTGTTACTTGGTTATTTGTGATTTCAATGTCTTCCTGGCTAACTCATTGAGGAAAACACAATGAAAAAGGAGGAAAAATATAGGGGAACTTTTTCTTTTTTGTTTCCATTATATTTATAGTATGCATTAGGTGGGCATTGATTAAGGAAGGCGGAACCTTTTCTTCCGCAAAAGGTTAAAAATGGATAGCCGAGACAAATTGCTTGTATTTTTTATGTTTGCTCTTGCCTATTATTATTTTAATTTAAAAAATTTATTTTCTTTTAAAGTATTTAGAAATTTCTATCAAAATATCAAAATGGTTAATCTACAAAAAATTTCATTTTATGTCAAGCACTAAGTGGCATAACTTGACCCTATGCATTTCAAAAATATATATTTAAATACTCAACCTCAAGTTTGTTTTTTAAATTATAATTGATATATGTCTCTTTTAATCTTTTAATTATCAGGTAGCACGCATCAGACTACTAACATTCTTGAATTCAGACCTTACAATTTAAACTTGTGGATATATTGAACCGTTCTCGATAGTCTTGAATTATTTCATTTCCAATCAATTTTTTCCGACGTGAAAATTCTGAAATTAAATCAAAATTTCCAAAGTCAGGTATTAGCTCAACCAGTATTCAGTGTAGTTGAAGCATGGCTGTACTCGCTGTGGCCTGAATCGAATCTCATAACGTAAGAATACCCGGTATATATTGGCCGGAAAAGGTCAGTTTCAGCTTATTGAGGCTGGTGTGGAGAACATTGTTTGTGGTGATGGCAACAGTTCTTGCAATGGCGTTGCCTTTCTTCAATGACATATATACTTGCTCTCCTTGGTGCAATTGGGTTCTGGCCGATGACCGTGTACTTCCCCGTGGAAATGTGCATTGCTCAGAAGAAAATCCAACGGCGGTCAAAAAGTTGGGTT